TTGTTTTGACCAGAATATACTAGCTTTAATTAGTGCTACATTAGTCTGTGAAGTAAATGAGTGTTATAGGCAGATAGATCAGATGATAGTTCCATAGCCTTTTTGTTGTAATCCAAGCTTGACCAAATCTTCTGATTACAGATCTAGTTTCAGTGTTTCTATCCCTCTGTGCCTTCTGTGATCCCCCTTTCTCATTGCCTGTATATTGGAGGACGTTTTACTGCCATCCGCTTGTAATCAACAGCAATATGAAATCTTTAGCAAATGTTAAAGTGTGCCGGGTTCATCTCCATTTCAGGTCATAAACTGTTGAGTTTTTCTTTTGTTTTTCTTTTGTTTTTCTTTTTTTTTGCATTTGTTCCCCTACCCCACCCTTTCCTGCAACAGGAGGAGCTCAGAGAGGTGATTAAGCTCTTTGTTTTTTCCAGTTAGAGCAATGCTGTGTCTGCACTCCGAGCATCATGATTGTGACGAAAGACTACTTTAGAAGAGGCAGGCTTTAGGAGAGTGTTGAAAGGACCATCAAATTCAGAAATGTGTTTTCAGTCCAAACTCCTCAACAGAAAATATGTCCCCAGTTCTCATGGGCTTTTCCGTGTCTGTATAGGTAGTGTGAGAACCTCGGGTCATGCGGAGAGGTCATCCCACGCACAGGAAACTTCACCACAATGAACCCTGCACATTTCTTGTGAAGAGGGTGAAGATTCATTTAGGGTAAAGACCATCTGTAAGATGTTTCAGTTTCTATTGGTAGAAAAACAGAGGAGGCTGAGAGGGTTGGACTTCAGACTGCTCTGTAGCACAGCTCATCGTTTTCCATGGCATAGTGCTGTGCTCACCTTGGTGAAAGCTATTCTGCTAAGTGGAACAGAGCTGTGCTTTTGCCATTTTAGTTAGTAAATGTGCGTGTGTTACAAATGCTCACTTCCACCTGCAAGTGTACATATTTTTGTGCTCATAGGAGTACTGAAGAAATAGAAGTGTTGTGATGACAAGTGACTTTAAAACAGAATCTCATTAAGTTAAGAAGAATGCTAATTGTATTTCAGTTGTGAATATAGAAAATAGTCTTAATTTGCACAAAGAACTAAGTGACCTAAATTGCAGTTTTCAATTAAAAGTACTCAAATGTATTAAAGAAATAAAATTAGGTTTTTAGATTAATTGAGTTTGCTTAAGTTCATAGCAGAGAAGGATGAAGAATAAAGTTTGTGACTTACAGATTTGTCTGTAAGTAAATGGGAGAGGATGGACGAAAGCAAAGAGAAAGAAATCTGCTCTCTGCTGCTGAAAATGGCCTTTTGTCTAAATATCACTGAAAGGTTGTGTTTGGGGATTTCCATGCTTCACAAATACATTCATTGTATCTTGCCGTATTTTATTTTGTTTTCTTATGGAAGACTTTTCCCTGTTCTTACTGAGGTCACCATCTTGCTCAGAATTCTCAGGAAGACTTCAGAGTGTGATGAGAAAACTCTTCAGGGAAAACTTATTTTTGTCCTTGGTAACCAAGATTCTGGTCAGTGGGAGAGAAAGACGTTGAACCAGCTTGTGAGGTTAACCTAAATTTAAGGAATAGACTGAGAAGGGGAAATACAGCCTCTTTATGGAGCTGACAGACTAGCACCTGCCGAGTATGCTTTTGATGGGGAAGTAATTTCAGTGGGAGACAAAGGTCCATATTGGATGCTGGCATCACTTGCTTTCTTTTGCCTTCCCAAGGGGCATGGTAAGGAGGATGTCCTAGATCATGGAGTGAGTGGAGCAAAAGTCAGTTGTCAACCTATGGATGTGCAGTAGACATAGTCTATGTCGCCGCCCACACAGGTTTGGCCAGAAGGAAGAATCTGACTCAAGATGTCAAGCTCGTGTCTCTGACTTTTACCGTTGTTGTGATCTGTGTGAGATTCAGGACATTCAGTCTCTCATTAAATGAGACAGAAGAGTGAAGTGCTTGTGAGACTGTACAAAAAAATACCTCTTAATTGGTGTTGGTCTTAGCAGGCTTTTGCTGGGAGCTGCTGTCCGTTGAGCTGATGTTCTGCTCTTGTGAGGGTGATCCAGACCTTCACCTCAGACCCTGAAGCATGGTTAATAAAGTTCTTTGCATCCTCCTTTGAAACAACTGTTGGAGATAAGATGCTGGAATTGCTGGAAGATTGGTCTTGAGCCAACATGGCAAATCTTGTTTAACTACCAAGATTATCTATGGATGGACATAAAAAAAACCCCCAAACAACCAAACACAACAAAAAATCCCATCTGTGTGCTAGTTATACTAGAGGTGGTGCTCTTACATGGAAGGCAACATAGTCATAGCTTAGCATAGTCTGGCATTTCATCCTTTCTATTATTTTCGCCGTGGTCATACAGTTAATAGAATGTTAGTTGGAAACTTGGCCATGATGCAAATCCAAAATACTTATTGTTTCAAGCAGTATTCATTTCCACTTTTTTGTGTATTGCTAAAGCATTTTCAACCAGAGAAACTTTTTACTAAGATATTATCTGAAGAATGCAGTTGGCTGAAGGAGCCCTCTTGATGTTTCTGAACAGATTGTTCAGGAACAGGAACCCTAATTTGTAAGATTCAGAGAGTGGACCTTACAGTCCAGAGAGTGGTAAAACTAATTGCAGTTCAATAAGTACCCCACAACTACTTTTTCACACCCTCTTGGAGATGATGGTAAACTTTTAGTAGGATTGCATTCCCATTTTTTTTAAGTATTAAAGAAGCTATGACACTCTCCCTTTCTCTATTATTCTTTTTGTGTAGATGTGTCAGTAACATTTAGCCTTCCACTGCTGTTGCATTTTCTGCTGTGGCATGCTTCTTTACCCGATCAAATGCCGTAAGCCCAGAGCACTGTGTCTGTAGAAAAGTACGGTCTCAGAGCAGATTTTGATTTAGTCTACAATTGAATCTCCTGCTTATTGATGTGTGAATTGGAAAAATCCTATTTCTTACAGTTGTGTAATGAGTGCCAAAAAAGTAGGTGTTAGGGTGAAAGAAGGTTCGATCTCACCTGACACATTTATTTCAAGGGGTAGTTTGGTAGGAGATTTTTTTTTTTGGAACAGACCAGAGCACTTTGCCAAAACAATTGCGGAGATAAGAAGAATATTGGCTTGTAGTTTTACAAGCTAATCTTCGAGGGATTCTTTTGGGGCCAAGATGATAATTGTTTTTGCTTGAGATCTTGCAAGTAGTCAGAGTGAGACCAAATGTCCAAAAGTTTCAAGCCCACAGGATGTGAGGCCATGCATCTGAGTAGTGTGGCGTTTGCTTCCCACCGCCAACTGCCAGGACTGAAAGTGGCAGGCCAGAAGTGGCATCTGATGAAGATCTTTTCTTCTGGTCATGTGCTTTTGTGCTAATAGAGCACCAAATAAATTTTCACATAACAGAAGGGAGACTTGTTCAGAAGCCTTTTCTGCATAGTAGAAATGACCATTAATGGTGTTGGGGGTCAACAACAGCTTTTCATGCTTCTGTTGAAGCCACAGTTGCAGCTTGCAGCAAAACTCAGCTTGCAGCAAAACTTCATGAAGTCCAAAGCTGCACATGTTACCAACATCCACTGTCTGCAGTATTAGTAAGAGCAAAGCCAAAGGCTATGCATAGATGCATCATGCCATCTTCATGATAGGGTTCGTCTGGACATGAATTACATCAGCCTTTGGGATTGCTGGCTGCAGGAGTGGTGCTAGTTTTTGGTACCATCTAAGGAAACTCTCCGTTGTGTTAATGCTACCCTTGATTTGGTAGGAATCTTACCTCCATTGATTTTTATCAAAAACATGATCATAAAGTTGTAATTGCTGAAGCAGTTGTAATTCAAGAGAGCGATCAAAGCACCTGTCGTTTGAGTCTGTCAGGCTCTGCAGTGAGTAGAGGGAAGTCATCCCTGCCTGAGCTAGCATAACTGTGGGAGGGATCCAGTTTGCCCAGCTACAGCGTCAGGCCTAAGCTAGTCATCTAAATTCTTTCTATAATTAGAGAGAAGAGACAGGTATCTGCATGAGGTGATTCATCCCACCTTACCTTGGAAAATGGTGACTCATTCTCTGAAAGTGCCTGTGTCTCACCATTGACTATATAGAGAACCTGGGTAGTGAGCTGAGATCAGATACCTGCCTCCTATGCAGTTTAGGTGAGATAAGACCCTTTCCATAAGTGATAAGTGCTCATACCTTTGTTCTTAAGCAGTCTTGGGTAATTAGTAGGGCTGGTGATTAAATCAGAAAGCTCAGACTAGACTTCTCCATCTCTTTTATTGTAGTATGACATACAGGGGAGGTCTTAAAAGGCATATCCTATTAATGCAAATGTACTTGAATGAGATGGTACCACTAGAAAATGTGAACCCTCAGTTAACCTGTAGTAGATTTAAAAATAATTCACTTTTCCTGTTTATGAACTGCTAGCTGTTTATAGAAGCCTACCTCTCATAGTAATTTAACCCAATGGAGAAAGAGCCCTACATCCTGATCTTTTGAACTTCTGTGTTTTGACACAGGATCTTTTCTCCTGACAGTGGTGGTTATAACTCTTCCAAATAACAAAATTTTGAAAGTTTAACTGTAGAAAAGCAAGCGTAGTAACAAATGCTGTCTCATACTCAACATATCATATACATTCCTTTTTCTTAGTAGCACCAAGCCTTTCAGTAAACTTGTTAAAACATGTATTTTACAGCTCTTCTACCCACTCACCAAATGCTGCTCTGAAGTCGGTCCTTTTCAGCATAAGCTTATTTCTTTGTGCTCCCTGCTCTGACTGGCTATTGCTATAACCAGTGCTGGGTGAGATCCAGCAGAGGATCATAATCTTTTTCTATTTTCAGTAAACTTTAATGTGAGAGCTAGTAATCAGAAGTTAAATTTACGTTTAATCTGAGAATGGTACCTACCTGTTGGTTGTGATTTATGCTGTGTAAAAAGATTGATTATTTATGCTGATTCTTTTGTTTCTCTTTTTAGATGTGGACTTAACTGATGTTACAATACATAAAATCTCTCCACACATGAGGAAAAGAGCCCTCTGTAAGTATGATCAGTGTAAGTAAATTAAAAATGTGTCATTAGGTGAGAAATTAATATTGCAATTTAAATGAATAGTTGAGAATTTAGAGAGCCTTGGAAAATTATTACTCTCAGTAATATTTAAATAGAAATAGTTTCAAAACAAAGAAAATACCTGACCTGTTTTAAGTTCTCAAGGATTGACCCTTTTTAAGGATGTCAGCAGCTACAGACATTTTAGCTGAAACTAACAAAGTTTAGCTGAAACAACTGGACTCTTTAACCTAACTGCTGTCTGACCTGTACCTGTGTGAACATGTTAATTATTCTCTAATAAGGTATTTGTAGGATTTCAGGGAAGGGGCTATGGCATCCTTTCCAAATCTCTGCAGTCACGTTTTGTAGGTGTTCTATTTCATTAGGCAGTTAGGTTTAATGGACTTAGAAACCATTAAACGTCACATTACAGAAAGAACAAACCAAGAAAACCTATTGCTGAAAGAAAGGGGGGAAAAAAATAGGAGAATGGAAAGACTTGGAAACTGGCAAAAAATGTTGATGGAAGTTTTATTTGATCAAATCTTAGTACATTGAGTACTACTCGAGAAAGACTCGTGGTCCACTAGCCACTTAAACATTTAAAAAAAAAAAAAAAAGGAAGAGGTTGGGGGCAGGGAAAGCTTTTTTCTTTTTTACTGTGAGTGATCAAACTTTGGAACAACTAGGTTGGCCAGAGAGATCCGTTCTTGTCAAAAAACAACTGGACACAGTCCTGAGCAACTTGCTTTAGGTGACACTGCTTTTGAGCCGGGAGATTAGATTAGATGAACTCCAGAGATCCCTTCCAACCTCAACTATTCTGTGATTCCATATGAATCAGAAAACTACCTGCTTTAATTTTTGACTTTTATAAATTGTATCTGTAAGTGGAGTGTTTTGTATGCTGTTACTGAGTTTCAGAGCTTTTGGGGATGCGGTGTTCATAGCTCTCAATTTCTATGTCTTCCACTCAAGAATTCCCTTTTTTCCTATTTGGAATTGGCTCATGACATTATATTATACAAACCTCAGTTGAATCACCAAGGCCAATTATTAGTTCTGAGTGGCAACGAACTGGCGCATCTGATAGACACGGCCCAAATTCCTTCCTCCTTAGAATGAGTTCCTCATTTAAAATCTCATTCCTAAGCTCATGTAGATGACCAGGATGGTGTTCAATTCAGTTGTCTTAGATGCTTAACTTACATCTGGATTTTAGATCTCCAGTGAACCAGTGCTAGTTAAGACGATGCTTGAGTTCCCTGTGGAGAGAGGGAGATTCTTTTGAAATCCTCCAGAGGGAAATGCTGACTAGTTAAATTTAGAGATCTTAGTTAGGCAGGTTGAATGATCCTTTGGAGATGTTCAGCCAATTTTAAAATGCCTATTTAAAACACAAGTAACAGCTAGATGCTTTATTTAATTAGAATGCATCTTGCCCATTGTTACGTCCGTCAACCTAAAAGGAAAAAAAATATTCTCCCATTATGTAGCGTGGTTCAAATGTTTTGTAAAATGAATGAGAGGCTGATGTGAAGATTTTAATCACTGTATTACTACCTTTCAGTTTATTAGACTTTACTCCTAATCTCACTTCTTAAGTGAATGGAGTTTGTCATAATAGTATGAATGAATACAAAAGTTCCATAACTGCAGAGCTAACGTTGCTGACGGAAGGAACATTCAAATTTATCAGCCAAACCAAAAGCACCACATTTAACAATGTAACCAAATTTTCTATAGACTGTGTGGTTTTTTTCTACCATAACATTTCACTTCAGAGGCATTGTGAGAGGAAGAACAACTGTCATGGGTGTCTGTAGACCAATAAAGTGTAGGATGAAGGAAAAGCACAGATGCTGCCATGTGGCACATCAACAGGCATCCCCTTTTGCTTTTTCTTTCCATCACCATCCCAGAATTTCACCCTTGTTCTGACCCAGTGGGTTTTATTTATAGTTTTCAATATCCCTTTCTCATGGCAGTAGAGCCTGAAACAACACAGCATGCTGACACTAGCAACATTTCTTGCCCTTTTGTTCTGCATTCTGCCGACCCATTGTCCCTTTGTCCTTATCCCTTGTCCTACCTCTGCAGAGGCCTCATCTGACAAATTCACTTGTGTTCCCCAGGGATTATGAAAACCAGGAAACTTCATTAAGGATGGTTTAATAGCTTAGACAAAAGGAGAAGAGCAGCTGGTCTGTTAACGAGTCTCTCTCAATCCCCATTCTCTGACAGAAGAGCTTTTTTTGCATGTGGTACAGTCTTCAACAACTTGCAGTAAAATGCTACAGATCTACAGTTCATGCCAGTTGAGTTACTGTGCATTAGATCTGCCTTGAGCGTTTTATTTGAATGACCTGAGGGAATTTTATGGCAGTAGGTTTGCTGCTGTTAAAAAGAACAGCAGGTGACAGTGGTCTAAAATTTTGGTGTTTGTTTTTGCTCTCTTTATTGCTCAGCGTGGCAATGTTAGAGGAATAGCAATCGTAGAAAACCTGCTGCACTCTGCTACTCTGTAAGACAAACATCGATAAAGCCAAGCGGCAAGAAAAGAAGGGTTCTTCATGACAAAATGACAGCAAGAGAACACAGTCCCCGCCATGGTGCAAAATCCCGCACCGTGCAACGGGCTTCCACCATCGATGTCACTTCTGACATGCTAGGCCTTTCTTTAGCAGGTAGGTACCTTCATGTCAGATATTGTTTTGTTATTCCTCTCAGAATCTACCTTGTATTAATATTGTTTTTTTCTTTTAATTGCTGGAAGATTACATGTGTCTGGTTATATGGAGGGAATGAGATAAAGGAATTATACTAAAAAATTTAAAAAATCTTGAATTTACCATTTTTAAAATAGATGAAACATTAAAATTGGAGAGGGAAGAAAAAAAAAGAAATTAAGCTAGATTTTGTGCAGTTATGTTTATCAGTCAGAACTAAGTAACAGGGAGAAATCAACAAGAGTGTCAAGGTCTAGGAAGAGTCTTGGCAACCTCCTTGTTTGACATTGTATGAAATTTTCAAGAGAGTTCAGGGAGCTGAGAATGGTCTCCCTCATCTTTTATGGTGAGTAAATTAGGATTGTAAACCTCAGAGGCTTTCTTTGATAAGTGAGAGACAGGTACTTTCCAACTTCTCCCTGTTCACTGATCACCGAGGAGATGTATCTGATTTAATAATTTGGAGTTGCTAGTGGCTCAGACGCTGAGTGGCTTTAATCTTACTGTTTTCTACTGAGATTGGGCATTTATATTCCCATATTCCATATAAGGTTGTATAGTTTTACATATTTTAACATGTTTTATAAAATGAGATCAGCTCAGGTTTTTCAAATAATTTTTAAATACCAAAGATTAGCTAATAAAAATTTTAAATACCAGTCATTGTTCATTGAATTAAAAATATGAATTCTTTCTGTAAAATTTAATTTCGTTCTCTATATGACTGCAACTTCGTGACAGCAATGTTTGGCTAATGTCGTGTTACTTTTTCTGATTTACAGGAAACATTCAGGATCCAGATGAGCCGATTTTAGAATTCAGTTTAGGTAGGTTTAGTGATTTTTATGCTAATTTTGATGATACATGCTATCGAGTATTTGTGCAGTTTTAAAATTGTTAATTTTGAAGTGCCTTTCGTATAGTAGGGATTGAAACTTTGCTTTAGTTTTATGAGATGTGGTCCAGTTTTCTTGCTGCCTGTACAGCATCTTTTGATAAGCAGCCAGCACTTTTATTTTGTGATGGTTTTAAAAGTCTGTAATTAAAACATCTGTCCTGTACAATTTTAAATGTTTACTATGTGGATGTTATTTTTAAATGCTTATTTTGTTTAAGTGAAGACACAGTGAAACTGTGGTCTCAGTATATCAGCAGTTCAGATCTTCAAACAAATTGAAGATTTGCTGGAAACACCGTTTTAGGACAAAATATTTTCTAAGAGTTACCAGCTATTACACATATCTTCTTTCCCGTGGTCTTTGCTGTCAAGTGATAATGTGAGATGCAGAAGTGACCTAATTTCTGGGATGATTAAATTTCGACAAGAAGCTAGTGACCTCACTGGAAGAATAAATTAAAAATATTTTCTTCTTGAAAAATTCAGTCCACATTTTCAACTGCAGCATGGCTTTCTTGGCTTAATAGTGGACTGATTTTTGGAAGGTTATGCTCTTAACAGTATGTTTGAAATGAAAAATTAGAACGTTGTCTCAGAGGTATGTAATTGCGTTATGAATAGTGATCTTAAGAACTCCTTAGAGCTGAAAAAGGTACTTCAAATATTTTTGGATAAATTAAAAATATATAGAACTGCAAAGCTACTTAGTGTACCTTTGAACATTTTGCTTGCTCAGGTAGATTTCAGAATTAACTTTCTGCATCTAACTGAAACAGAGTAGGACCACACTGTAGTTACCTGTATGTAACTAGATAGAATTTGGTTATGAAGTTTAATGTAATTGTGTGGTCACTCACTGAAATTTTTGATAGTTGCTTCCTATATAGTCCCTTCCCAGCAGTTAAACTCACAATAACATTTTAGAGGAAATAAATTGCTGTCCTTTTACAATTACAAGTTACTTCTCCTCATACTAGTGCTGCCTGATTAGTGTTCCAGCACTTCTGTGGGTTCTCCATGGCAAAATGCCATTTGGTAATGGGCTTAATGGAGCGTGACTTCAAATCAAATGCAGCCATGCTCATGAGATTCCCAGAGGAAAACCGATGCATGTACGCTGTTCTAATGAGCTGTGCCAGGAGGTGGATAGGCAGGTGTTACAAGAGAACAAGTTTAAATTACAGCTCTACAGCTTGGAGCTAGACTGATCTGATTGCACGTTTACTGTTTGCATGCACAAAGGCGAGTGATGTCTGCCTTCACAGCATGGCAGTAGAATGAATATTAGGCCCTTCATGGCATTATTGCTCAGAGTATATAATATGCTTTTATAAAAATGCAGAGTCTTACAGCATTATGAAAAGGATCTTTAATCTAAATTTATTTATCTATTGCGTACCTAAAGCTTGCAGTGAGCTGCTAACTCCATCGCTAGATCGAAAACCAAATAGTTTTGTAGCAGTGAGTGTAACTACACCTCCTCAGGCGTTCTGGACGAAGCATGCACAGACAGAAATTATTGAGGTAAGTAAGTGGTGAGGTACTCTTGGGTTAGATTTAAAATTGAAGCTAACACAAGAAGCATTTCTTCCGAACAGGTATCACCTTGCATTAATTTTTGCCTTTTTTGTTTACAATTGCAGGGAACAAGTAATCCTATCTTTCTAAGCAGCATTGCCTTTTTCCAAGACTCCCTTATCAATCAGTTGACGCAAATCAAACTCTCCGTGTACGATGTCAAAGATAGATCTCAGGGAACAGTAAGTTTTCTTTTTTCTCTTGCCTCCCCAGCCAGTGTGGAGCAAGGAAATGAGAGGCAAGGAGATAAAATTAGTAACTTTTGTGGAAGAAAGCAAAGGGGTAGCAGCACTGATCCTAGAGAAAGCAAGGTGGGTAGGGGAAGGAGAGACAAATACCGTGAGGTAGACTTGGCAGAGTGGGGAGCATTGCCAGTTTTCTCAAATAAGGCTTGTCTTCAGCAAGTTTGGGAACCGCTGATTTAAATTAAGAGGGCCTGTCACTTGTTCTTTTACGTTTTGGACCTTTTCATTGAAGTAGATAATGAATAGGATCCAACACTCCTGAGACCTCTAACCTATGCCAAAATGTTGGGCCTATTGAGCCCATAATGAAACAGTCGTTTTGAACAGAGCTGCCAAATTCCAGAAACTGGCCTGCCCTGATCCCTTAGTGATTTTGTTCAGGGTAGGATTTATTCCCTTACTGAAAAAAGTTGTAAGTGCCAGCCCTACCATGTAACTACTTGGATCTGCAGGCAACTCAGGCCATTTATTCTCAGACTGTTGCCTAGAATACTGTTTCCCGCCCCACGTGTCTGCTTTTCCATGGGTTCCACAGGGGCAGCAAGGTGGTCCCTCTCTGTACAGTGCTGCACAGGGAGGCTCTGGGGAAAAAGGAATGTCTCCACAGAGGGGCGAAGCTCTTCAGGAGAGCCATGTCTGGATCAGGGAGAGACTATGAAGTGTCGACCTAGTCAGTCTGAGCCCCATTCAGTCGTTGCTTTCAGTGTTCCTGTATTGCTGGGCCTAAGCTTGTATGTGTTGAGGTGCCTCTGCTTGAGTCCTAGAGAAAGGAAAATGCTCGTTGTCCTCTAGTAAAGAAAGGGGTTTTATAAATTACCAAATTTGTTACATTTTAAAGGCTTTTAATTAGTTATATATAAGCATATGTAATTATGTTTTTATTCTCTGACTTTTATGCATAATAATTGTATTTTGAGCTTTAGTGCTTCGGACAAAGCCTTTGTTCATTGTAAAGATAAATAATTACAATTCTGGTACTTACCCTCTTTCAGATGTATTTGCTGGGTTCTGGGACGTTCACTGTAAAAGAACTTCTTCAGGAGAAGAATCACAGGTTGCACTTAACACTAAGGTTTGTAATATTGTCGTTCATTTAAGAATCAATTATTAATTCTTGAAAGCATGCTTAAGATGTGATGAAAACAGTCTGTGAGATGTGATGAAAACCTTTTGTTTTTTTAGTTCCAGGCCACTATTAAGGAAAAACTATTTTATATTGCATGATAATTAAAACATGTAGAATAAGACCTTTCCAACATGGTGAATAATGTTAGACATTGGTTCTAGTTCTACAAGTCAAGAAAATATTGACAAATCTCATTTTTGTGCATTTCATCCTATCACCTCAGCCTGTCTGTGCAGAGTGGCAAAATAGACTATTTTAAACCATGCTGATGTATCAAGAGCCTGTGATAGAATGAAACCCATTGAAGCAAAGGTTATCTTAACTGTTTGGAATACCTTGGCTTAGATAAATCTAGGCTCTGTTTACTATCTTAGCACCTGCCTGTTGGTAAATTGTGTATTTGTTGCTAAATGGTGCATATATCAATAAAATGCACTAGTAAAGGAGGAGTCACACTACAGAAACATTGATTGATGTAATTTTCTAGTTGAATTCATATCAGAAACTTTTGTGGAAGGGATGTGACTCAGGAGGCAATGAAAAAGAAGATGTGAGTCAAATATCAATCCTTAAGGTAGCAGTTCAAATCATAAGAATCAAACCACACTCTTGAAAGCCAGCGTGGGCCAAAGTTAAGTGCGAGGTTGGGGAAGAATGAGGAAAGCAAAGTGAGATTAAGGAGAGGGAGCTCTGATGTGTAAATGCACGTTGTCGTAGTATGTGTTGAAGTAGGACAGGCATCCCAGTCAGAGGGGGCAAGGGGAAGTGAGTTGAAGGGGGGGGAAGCGTATTCAGAGAGACTGAGGAAGGTGGTGTTGGTAGTATCGGCATAATCAGCACTAGAAATAGTAACTGTGATAAACTTGCAGAAATTTCTTAGCCCAGACACAACTGACAAAATATGGGCAAAGCTTTTTTTGCTAAGAGAAGAGATGGGTAGGGCTTTCAGCTTTTCCGCAGTGTGTCATAAAGGAAAAAATTGACACAATTTAACACTGGGGAGCAGATAAAGAAAATGAGTCAGAAAAGGCCCCAAAAGTATGACATTGATGATGGGTAAAATAGTCTAATTTATCAGGAGTTTCATGGTTGTGTATTAGACATGGTTATCCTGTTAGGTTTTTTCTTTCATGACTAAGTTGAAAATGAACTTCATTATCTTCTGATAATACATTATCAAGTGTATTCTGGTTATCAAGGTGTATACATACATGTCTCCTCATGTCACGTTGCCCCTTAGATGTATAAGCTGGGTGCTGAGCAACATATGTAAACATGCTGCATGATTTGGATACTTAAACATTTTCTTGTAGTTATCTTGTGTGCTTATTTCTTTTGTCTCCCCAGTATTGTCTGTTCCAGAGACTTTTTTTTTGTCTTAGTTGTCCCAGCAAATTTTTACATGTAAACAACAATCTTAAAATACCATTTAGAATCTGTCTTAAAATAATAACATAAAGTCTCTGCCAAAATTACTGTGTCATGGGTGAGACAGAACAAATGACAGCCGTGGTAGATCTGGGTACTGGTATGTATTTTAAAACCAGCAAGATGAGAGCTTTTACCCTACTTGATTCTCTGTCTCTCACTCATTCACTCACTCACTCCCCCCTCAGTCCTGTGTTCATATTGTCTCAGCTTCCCTCCCCAGCAAGGAGGTGGCTGCTGGTCTGGGAAGGTGGGACAGAAAGTTGTGTCAGTTTGTACTGTGCAGCTCCTGAGCTGTTACTGACCTATTTCAGCTGTTCCTGGCCAGGTCCCTGGGGATCTCTGGCATTTGTTTCCACACACCTCCCCCCTTCCTCAGGGATCTTTCCTCCATTGAGAATCTTCACCTTCTTCTTCCCTAGACCACTTTTCAGGATCCTTCTCTTTAACATCAGCTTTTCTTTCTGGAATGTCAGGCCTCCAGTTTTCCCAATATAGATAATCTATCTGCAGAAGCACAAGGTGTGATCAGCCTCCTAACTGGTGGCCTTGCCTGACTTCTCTACTAAAGTAGAAGATTTGGGGTGTCCTACTTCTTTTTAGTCCACATATTATCAAAACTTACCGATTGCAACTGCAGCAGTGGCAGCTAGCAAGTAGCAGGCTTCTGATGGAGAGTTTCAGACATTCACACGCACAGGTGCACACCTGTGTTCACATACATCCAATTATCTGCCCCTGTTAATGTTCACAATTTAAGCTGCTTTTGCCTACAACAGGCTAATTGTACAATCTGAACTCTTTCTGGTTTTACGGAAGTATTGAAACACATGCATGGTTTTAGGTTGCCTTCAGTTAGGAGGTCTGTACAGTATCCCTGCGGAATGAGGGGAGCATTTTCCTGTTGGAATAACAGATTATAAAAATATGTAAAATAAGGCTGAAAAGCTTCCTATTTAAAATGTTCATTAAGTTTGAAGATTAATAGCCTTTTATAAGTGTTCCCTTGTTGATAAACAGGTCCACCTCCAAAAAAATCTCAACGCAGAGTGTTTGTTGCAGGTCGGCTGAAAGTGACCGTGTAGGTAACATTACAGTTATTGGATGGCAAATGGAGGAAAAAACTGACCAAAGGCCTCCAGTGACAAGGTCACCTGATACAATTAATGGAAGGGTGAGTATGAGCATTGTATCAGCTTCAGAAAGATGCAGATTGATTTGTAGTATTGAAATAAGTTGAGATCTGCTGTCAACCTTCCTGTCCATCTTGGTGTCTAGTAGTGCTTTACAATTACAAAATACTGTAAAAAAACAGCCTGATGGTGATGAAGCAGTTTTATATTTTGCAGAGCTCTTGATGCTAATGTTTGGGGTTAAAAGTCTTCAGGAAAATTTTATTTTACAGTGATTAAGCTTTTACTTCAAGTGCTCATGCCTTTCATCAGAATAGACTTGCGGTACTGTACGTTGGTGCTCTTCGTCCTTTGATAACCAGTTTCACAAAGATGTGGTATTGTACACTTCTGAATTGGAAGGTGGCATCAAGCAAAGCTGTGATGGGGATGCTCAGGGAATTTCTGGAATTTTCACAGGCAACTTTTTAAAAAGAAGTACCATAAAATATTTTAATCAAACTGAACAGGTTACTTGAATACTGGATTATTATTCTTTTTTTATGTGTTCCCCAAATATTTGTATGAGAGCAGATATTTATAGTACTTTCTCAGCCTAGGCATATGTCTAATTCCATAAACCTTATGCTCTGAATATGCTGGTGATAATTGCACTTGTGTCTTGTATGACAGTCACAATATGGACTAGTATCACTTTGTATCCAACCAGACCTGTCATTGGCACATACTGATGCAGTACCTTTAAGAGCTCTGGAGCTCTGCTAACATCAAGTTGTTGCAGGGCTGGATGAAAATTTTTTCAGTGTTTTGAATGTGCAGTAGAAGTAAATAGGAGTGCTTAGATTGGAGGGGTTAAGTGGATTTGTCATTTCAGCCTGCAGTATTTTTTGTCCACAGTAAACATATTTGAAATATTTATTTTAAACACGCATTGTATTGAATATTCTATTCAAGTCTGTATAATAGGGTCATCACTGCATGTTGCCCTGGCACTGAAGTTTTATTCTTTCTATTTGTTTTTGTTGTTATTGTTTTGCTTAGACTGTGTTGCCAGTTGATGAAAGTTTAACAGAATCTTTAGGAATCAGATCCAAATATGCTTCATTACGGAAAGATGCACTACTGAAATCTGGTAAGCTGCTGTGGGCTGTAACAAGTAAGCTTTAGGCACCAGTAAAAGCTAATTTCTTGCTGTCTGCCTGTGGCCCCAGGGTGTTCAAGCAGATGTTTTATTTGAATAGGAACAGGCTGCTGATTGAGCAGCCCTCTGAGGGTCATACAAGAATAAATTGTTTTATCATCTGCATATATTATTTTATCATCTGTATAGTAAAAACAGCAGAAACAAACTTTTGTCATTAAGTTTACTATAGTATAATTTTTTCCATGCAATTTGCTAGTCTGTTCCAAAGCAATCATTGAGGGGTGAGGGGAGAGACAGAGGAAAGCAGTGGCTTTAAAAAAATTTCTTGAAGAAAGATTAGTTTTCCAGCAAATTACTGCATGAGAGGGAAGTGCACAGTACATTAAAAAAAAAAAAAAAAGTTCAAAAGTTGAATATGTATTTTATATCCTTGCCTGTGTTTTAAATCATTTGGAGGCTTTTCCTGCAAGCATTGTAAGAATGGTCATTGCAGACTATCCATGCTTGGAAAACCTAGACTGATGCCTAGTTAAACCAGATCTTTACAGCAGTGTGTTGCAGCACTTTAGTGAATTGAAGCCATTTGCTTTAAAAAAGGAGAGAATTTGTATGCTTTTAACTCAAACCTTGACCTAAAATAATGTTATTTTAATTCTTTATAGTGTTTGGTGGCGCCATTTGCCGAATGTATCGCTTCCCAACCACTGATGGAAACCACTTGAGAATCTTGGAGCAGATGGCTGAGAGCATCCTGTCGCTACACATCCCCAGGCAATTTGTGAAGCTTCTTCTAGAAGAAGATGCAGCAAGGTGAGTTTGTTCCAGTTTGCATGTGCAGTAATACAGCGGTGATACAGCTGTTATTGAGTTACCAAGGAATATATCTGTGTTAATGCACAGAGACACTAAAGAAAAAATAGTAAAAGCAACAACTTGCTGACTGTACAGTTACAGTGAATAAAATTTCATGTCAGAGTATAAAGTTTGGGCTTGAGTGTATGGTAACGTGGACATACAGAGGTTACAATGGGAGAGAGTTGTTGGCGGAGTGAACACTTAAGATCATACCACAGTTTTCTGCACTTAGAAGAAAATGCTTTACTCACAAAAGGCCACAGAATATATTATTCCATAGTCATGTGAGTGTATTAGGGCCACTAGAATACATTACCTTTTTATATATATAATAATTTATATACTTCAATACACTTTGTTTTTTTAAACATAGTTTATTTCTAATATAAAGAAAAAAATGAAATTGAATTAAAAATAAAACATGTCTCTATGTTTCATAGGTGGGGGGGAAGTCTGGATAGATGAGACAGCATAAATGAAAGACTAATAACTCCTTTCTGCTAAGAATTTTGAGAAAGACAGAGACAACGCAGAAACCAGCTGAGGAGGAATAAGTAATTAGAGTAGCAGACAGAGAAGAAAAATCAGAATCACTTTGAAGGTGAACTTTGAAAAAGTCAGTTGACTTCTGTGCTATGAAAGCAAAGCAGAGATAGATGACAGGAGCACTGACTCCTCTCAGTGAGCTAGGAGGTGGCTTTGAGAGCCAGAAGAGTAGTTTTCAATGGAAAACAAACAGATGAAAGCAAGTAAAATGAAACACTGTAGGACAGTAGTGGCTTTTTCTCATTTTAGGAGGTGGGAGGGAGAAGGAAATCTGTTAACCGGTTTGTAGGTTTATTCTGAATTTGCTTCTTTTTGGAGCAATTAACTCTCTTTCAGGCAACATACCTGTTAATGATTTTTATTTCCCTGCATTTGTAGGCTGTGGTTTGCAAACATAATGGTCTGTGTATTCTTTATAAAAGCTAAGATTGGGATAGTAAAATAATTTTAGCTATATTTCTGAGCGTTGAGATTTTATTTCAGCTGTGTTTGAATCCACTATTAGAGGCCTAATTAAGTCTGACCTTAATTAAAAGTAAAACTATCTAGTGCTCTCAGTATCCTATATTAATACATTTCAATTCCTTTGAGATATTGTAAAAGAAAATCATGTGTTAGCCCATATGAGCAGGCAGAATTAGTGTTTTCAAGTATTTTCATATTTTGCAAAAATGATAAATTCTTACAAGAGATAAATTCTCACAAGAAGGCGGCAGTGAATTTTTGTAACGTATGTAAAAACTCATGCATGACATGACTGTTTGAGTTTCCAAAGTTCGCATTGATTTTTATTTTTTTTTCCCTGCTGTTGAGTTTTGGTTTTTAGTGACATGCACTTAGTAAGAATAGTCAGATTTTAAATGCTGGAAAACGAATGCTGTATCTTGCATAGTTGTCCTGCTGCAACCTTGAGGGAGGGGGCTTGGGAAGTGCCATTACACATTTAGACATGGGTTATTCATAGTTTGTTCTTTGTTTCTCTACAGCTTTCCTCACAGTATGTTTAAAAACATCTATTCATTATGAGGTACAGCCATAATATTGTAAAGAGTTGGCAGGCTTACCCATAAGGTGCCATCTGTGATGGATGTAGTTTAAGGACTTGAAGATAATAAGAGAAGAATTTAGGGTGAATGGGGAAAAAAGATGTGGCTTCCCGTAAGGCTGTGGGCAGTGAGGTTTCTTAAGGCATTAGCCGTGAAATGTGACTGCTCAGAGGCTGTTGCTAAATCATATAGAGATTGATGGATGCATACTGTATACAGTTGCAGGTTAATAACAACCCAGGTGATTGCTAATACAACTTTATATGCTCTGAATCGCATGGCTCAAAGGTAAATACGACTTTGGTGTAATTAGCAAGAAAGACTCCCTGCTCTCTCTTCAGTTGAGGTGACCCTCAGAATGCAGGATTCTTTTCTATCAGTGCTTTTATATTTCTAGTGAATGATGATTTTTCTTTAAGATGGGTTACTGTCATGTTCATTTTGAATTAATGCCCTGTTTTGTTACAGTGCGGGACATAGCACAGTCACATTTTGTATTCATAGGATCTCTCATGTTTGGCCAAGTGCTCTTTTCTCCATTCTCTGTGCTGCAGCCCAGAGGAATGCCAGACGGCTACACAGGCACAGCTGCTTCTGTCTTAACAGCCTGATGACTTTTAAAATGTCCTTGGATAATCACAACTGCCGTCTCTTACATAAAGCCCTTCTGGGCCAGAGCTCTTTGAAAGGAAACATCTAATGGGGGGGATATTTTGACTACCTAGTTATTTATGGCATGCACATCCCCTGCTGTCTTAGCCCTATGGGACAAACAAGTAAACTTGAGGTGCTAAGCTGTGAATTTACTTCAGGAAGACCTGGGCTCAAATGCATGGCTTGCTTTGAGCAGGGAGCTTGACAAGGTGATCATAATAGGACCTGATGCAGAAGCAGTTTACAAGACGAAACTAGAAGTGTCTTTTTCCAAGTCACTGATAAATATTTTTTACACTGTTGCCTATTGGCAAATCAATCTGTTGTTTTTCTTGGAAATTTGCTTACTTTTCATAATATCCTAAATACTGTGGGGTGAGAAGTGTTCTGTGAAATGCTGTCTAAAGTTATAAACAGACAATTGATTAAAGCTGTGGATTAGGGATATTGAGAGAACTGCAAACGGAACTGCTGGATCCTTTTGGCAGATGATTGTTGTGCCTTTCCTGGGGTAATGTGCTGTTGAATTGTGTCTGGTGTTGACTTGTTTACTTTTTCCCTTCTTCCTTTATTCTGAATAATATCTTAATCCAAGAAGACAGTAAATACAAGCATGACATGAAATACACTGAATATTTTCTCAGCAGTGCTGTTGGGGAACAGTATGTAATACAGGATTGCCATGTGTGACTGAAAACCTAGCTGTCAGAGTGGAATGGGAGAGCCAGGGGGTTTCCTGTTCATATCTAGGGGTATCCAGTTGTCCTTTGTTCCACCTACAGGGAGACTTGAGTGCCTAAAACCTGGAATCTCAGATGCAAGTTTTGTTGGCTCCTCTTTTTTCTCTTCAAACCCTTATTATTGCTTACGCTTCTTAGGCCTTCCCGGCCTGGCTTTGAAAACTGTTGTGTAGATACCTGGCCAGTGCAGATACTCCTTGTACCTAATGTCAGATAGGTGCTAATCTCCTGCCTAACCTCTGTCACAGTTCTGATTTAATTTGAGAGCCACCAGAGTGCAGTTGAGTGGCCTAAAAAGGTCCTTATTGTCCCAAGTCACCTGGCATGATGACAGTGCCCATCATTTGCAAGTCATTGTATTGTTTGAGAACTCCTGCAGAAAGGTGGGAAGCTTTGGTTTTGACCAACAGCTGAGGCTCCTTGGGGAACACAGCGTATCCCTCCTGTGAGGAACCTGTGTATCTTTGGGTAGAGCTCAACAGCTGTGATTTGTGGTGAATGTTTGGAAATATTCCCAGTCTGGTGACTAGGTTAGACCAGAGTGAATTGAGAATATGTCAGCTAAGGATGGTGCTACAATGTGAAATTCATTCTTAATCAAGTGGACAATGGAGCTAAACACCTCTCTTTTTTCCTTTCTTTTTCCCTAGGGTTTGTGAACTAGAGGAATTGGGAGAGCTGTCTCCTTGTTGGGAAAGCCTTCGTCGACAAATAGTTACTCAGTACCAAACAATTATTTTGACTTATCAGGAAAATCTAACTGACCTGCACCAGTATAAAGGTGATTTTTTTTCTCATAATAACATGATGCTTCTTGACTGGGATTGTTAGTCTTTCTCTGAAATTGAGAACCCAGGATGTTTTAGTTTGATGAGTAAAAAATACTAATTTTAAATTTCTTTATTAGTATTTATTGTGGGTTTGCTAATGATCTGGGAATATTTGTCTGCTTTATTAATTCTCTTATTTTACCCTGAAAGTAGAGAACAATTGTGAACAGTAACAGAAAGATACATCTTTTTTTTCCCTCTGATTTACTTTCAGCATGTAGCAAATGATGAAGGAAGCTCCTTGAATATTTTAGCATAAGCAGAAGCAGAGGATTTTTATGCTTACTTTTGTCATGTATTTCTCAGGTCCTTCATTTAAAGCCAGTAGCTTGAAAGCTGATAAAAAATTGGAATTTGTTCCTACGAATTTACATATACAGAGAATGAGAGTCCAGGATGATGGAGGATCAGGTATTTGTTCATTCTCTCTTCACCTTATTCTGTTTTTCTCTCTCAATTTTTTGATTTCCATCCTCAATGGTATAGCTAAGTTTCTACAAACTACTGCATTGTGATACTAGTGCTACTTGGGATTTTTGTAGCCCTTCTATCCTTGGATTCCAAATCTCTTAGCAAAATAAGAGGTGTAAGTATACTTACTACTATTCTACAGGTGACAAAACCAGCTTCTGGAGTTAGCTGTACCCTAGGTGATGCAAGTCAGCCTTTGTACTAGGGGACATACTGGGTTAAGCTGCTGTGTCCCTTGCAGTCATTTTGATTTGTAGAATAGTAAAGGTTCTGACTGTTGTTTGTTGTTAAGCTTGTGCGCTTTCTCTCTGGAACCGTTATATTCAAAATACACCAGTTGGCTTGCATCGAGCTTGTTTCTTCGTAAATAGGTTTTCCCTTCTTTTAACAGTAATTCCCAGTAACCATGGACACACACTTGTCCCATGTATCCATGTGAGGGATTCCAGTAATGGCAGGTTTTGTGTAAAGACCGGTGTTCAAAGCTTCTTTTTCACTGTCAGTCTTCTTGATTAAGAAACAGAGGACCTGCATTCAAGTGTGGTTCTTTCACCTCAAAAGTACTTGATGGATTTCCAGGGCCTTTAAACCAATTCAGTTTTCCATGTCTTTCAAAACACTGGCACAAAGTTCTACAAAAATTACTTTCAGAGTAGTTTTTTAATTTCCACAGTTGTTTGTCCACAGTAAAGATGACAAGCTTTCATTTGTAAGTCCTTTTTCTCCATCCCAGATCAGAACTACGACATAGTCACCATAGGAGCACCAGCAGCTCATTGTCAAGGCTTCAAATCAGGTGGCTTGCGGAAAAAGCTGCATAAATTTGAAGAGGCAAAGAAACAGTAAGTAGAAATGTTGTTTTGTCAGTTGTTATTGTGTCTTTTCCTCCTGGTCCCTGCTCAGTGATTTGGAAAATCTTTCCTTTCTATGTTTTTGTTGCACTTCATTCAATAGTTCTACTATACAGTGTGAAGATGATTCCATTTTTTTTTT